GCTGGTTATTAAGATGGTGTAATCCACTGTCATCTGATTACTAAGATATAATTTGATTCCATTTAACCAGTTTTATGGCTAATAAACTGATTAATCAGCACGAGAGTAGAATCTGTGTGGTATAAATTCCTCCTCCTTTGGACACCATTTTATATTGTAATTGAAACTTTATTTTCCATTAATTACCTTTATTGAATTTAAATCAGTTATTTTTATATGATTAATAACAAATGTTTTTTGTTGTTGTTTTATTAGAGTTCGTATTTTAGTGTCAGTAACTTATTTTACAATGACGACAATGTACTGATGGTATCTGTAATCCTCGTGTTTTTTCATCGTCTTCAGAATTAAACTGTTTCTGAAAGTGAATAACCTTCATTATGTATACTGAATGCAGTTGTCATTAATCAAAACCAATACCATGATATTTTTATCTCTTACATCAACAAATAAAAAAAACGTTAGGGTTTGTGTAAACTAAACCTTCAAAATTTATCTTGTTGATTAAAAGAGAAAAATGTATCATGTATATTGCTTGAACTAGACTGTTATATTTTCTGCAAATACAATTTCAGTATATAATTTTGTTTTAATTTTAAACTTTTTGCACTTGTTGTACATGTATAAATATATTAATTTTTATACTTGGACAGTTTTTAAATTTTTATAGCTGCTACCGGTTTTCTGTCACGTTTCCAAGTTGAAGGATGTGCACGTTTTGAAATACTTTATATGATATATTAAAAATTAACTAGTTTATGGTACAATAATTAGTCCACTTGTAGTTTTCTGCAAAAAGAAACAAAGTTCCCAAAACAATTTTTATTAGGATAAAAAGAAATTGGTTGGTGTTATCTTAAATTCGAATATTTTCACCTGCTTTATTACAGGGAGAGAATAATTCACCTCTTAGCTGTCCGTCCATATAAGAAACCTGAACTGCTGACTAGACTTATGAAAGGTAATACGCAGCCTATCGTTGTCTCGTATATATATCTGTGTTATTTATCTAAATTTTATCTTTAAAATAAATGTTTAAATTTCAGAAAGAGCATAGTATTCATTATCAAATTGAAACATTAAAAACTTGGTAATTTACTATTCTGATGATTTCATACTGTTGTCAGATGTTGAAAGTACATAGATACAAGAGAGGGTAGGAATGATGAAAATTATGTTAATGAATTAGAATTCCTAGCTGTCTACTGCTGTAATAAACTTGACAAAAACAGTTTATATTTTTCTATTCAGTTTTTAGATTATTGGACATTATCATACCTTCAAATAGAAGAGTATAAAATAAGGAAATGTGAAACATCCAACAACTGAAGATTTGAGATAGTAATCACGCTACCATAGCGACTAACAGAGTTAACATCTTTGTCACTTTTACAGATGGTATAAAAGAAAAAGACAAGAAAAGTTTGAGTGCCATCTTGAGTCAAGTGGCTGTACTGAAGGATAACAGCTTTTCCTTAGTGAGGCATGTCTGGAATGAAGTCCAAGACGATTGGCCTTTTTACACTCCTCAAGAAAGAGAGCTAATGAAAAGGTTTTTTTTTTCTTTGTCCTGATAAATGTTTAAAAGTGAAACATTTTCTTTTTACTCCTAACTGATTCAAACATTTTAAGAAATTAATTACAATTAACCATGATTTTAATTACCTTTTTTTTTATGTTGTTGAAAATTATTTGTTAAAAATGTTTACCAATTTCTTTCCCCTTCTGACATTTCAAACATTAGTGTTCTGTTTGAAGCATTGACACTTACAATCAAATATTTTTTTTTAATAATAGAAGGTTGTGTATGTTTTCTATTAAATATTCAGTATGAATGTTGTTTTCTTTAATTTCTTTTATGTGCTTATAATAGCTGAATTAAATGCTACATTATAGATAATCAAGTAACATT